GAAGTTGTGAACACCAGAGGAGTGAAGCTGCCCTGATCAACATTCAGAATGCTCTCTCTATATGCCCTGATCTTGTCATTCTCGTTCCTCCTGTGTGCAGCATCGAGAGCTAGGTTATGGTGACATGCGGCCATGGGATCGAAAATCCTTAGGCCAAAGAAGGCTCACTGTCTCCGCATCCAGAATCCTTGAGCACTGATGTCTACACAGGCTTTGTTGGATGTGTTTGAAGTCCTGTGATGAAAATTGTCACTCTCCAATGGAAGGAGGGGCGGTTCCACCATGATATCGTGGCAGGTTTCCTTCAGTAAATTTGCGGTGATATCCCTTACTTCGTCATGCCTCATGCATATGAAGCCCCCTTTCTTGCACACCATGGCGTGGTCGATGTCATAGAAAGAGCCACACAATCATTGGGAGGGCAAACCTTCTACTGGCCTACCGTACCTTAGAGCAATTGCATTTGTGAATTTCTGTTTATTAAGGATGAAGCCTTTTGCCCTTATCAGTAGCATTGTTAGCCAGTTGGAGGTGCCCATCTCCTGCGTTATAGCTACTTTTTTTTCTTCAAGTTCTCTGGCAATTGCTGCAACAGTTGTTGCAGTTTATCACTTTGGATGTGCTACCGTTCTGTTGTAATGGACCATCGAACCTTGTTTAATTCGTTGGTATCCACCTAACTTGCTGCATTCTGAGCTATTATGTGCTCAGTGAGGGCTGCTGTGAGCTTGACAGAGTTCTGATTTTCTGTGGCGGCACGCTCGACTGGATTACCTCCTGTAGTTAATCTCATTCCTCCTAGTCTTGGTGGTAGTGCAATGAGTGACCTTTCTGCTGGGGTTAAATAAGGATTTTTCACTATTGTTGGGATAAAAGCAACCTTGATTGCTTCTTCCAGAGGGCAAAGGAGGGGTCCAATATCAGAGATAGTGCCCCCTCAGGTAATTCCAGCGATGCTTGACTCCATGGGTGATTGCTGCGAAAGCTGCATGTGGCTCTGTTTTAGCAATATCAGACAGGGCTTGGATTTCCTTCACCCACTCATTAACCTTTCCCATTACGTACTCCGTCTTGAAGTCCTTTGTGCCTGTTACTGCACCTAGATGTCTTTGGCCATCCTTTGTTATTTTTACCTCACTTCCGCCGAACACCTCAATTGCCCGTTCGTAGTGTTCTGGCTTCACAATGAAGAAGGACTTACTGGCATTTGGGTGGTACCCTATTTGTGGACCTCATGATGTTACCAGGTCCCACCACTTTTTGATGTACAGTCATCCCTTGATTATCACGCCTAATTGGGACCGAACCGATTGCATGATAACGAAAAATGCGATAACGAAAGTGCAGAACCTATGGGATTTATTCTAATTGGTTCCAGGCACCCAAGACCCAATTTTTCCATTTTACGACCATTTAGACCCACTAAAGATATAGATAATGTTATGGTAAGTATCAGAAACACACATAGGCATGGCTAGGTTTATTACAAAGTGATGAAAAGAGTACGCTCAATACTGTAGTCTACAAAACATGTAGCTTTGCTGTCTTTATTTGAGTCCCCCGTCTGAGGAGTCCATTTTCTCATCGCTTCAGGACGCCTGAGTCCTCCGTTTTCTCTCAATCTTAGAGCGCACCCGAGATTTCGTTATTCCTTAGTAATGACACAGAATTTGAAATTGCAACTGGGGTTGCAATTGTTGAGGCAGCTTAGATATGTTTGATTACAGCAAATGTGTTATTGTCAATTGTCAAGATTTTATCCTCAATAGATGTAGGTGAAGCAAATGGGTAAAAACACCTGGAGGCAACTGCGTGATAACAAAATTCTCGGCTTGAAAAATGCACTATAACAGCAGGTGTGCAGATTTTGATGGAGGAGTGATAACGAAAATTGCGATAACCAAGTGCGCTATAACCAAGGGATGATTGTACTCCACTTTTCCTGCTCCTGTTAGGTCATCAGCATAAATCACTTGCTTGACTGCAGTTGTTTCATGTATGTTGGAGCATGGATAGGCCTAGTGCATACATTGCCATGGCAACAGGGTCTCTCTGCATTGTTCCCTCAGTTGACTGTATGGTGGTATCTCCTCTTAGGGCCTGAAAATTGTTATATAGAGATCTGATTGGTTCCTGTAGTTGTATCCAACAAATATTGCAAAGCTTGGACACTTGATCTTGATGTTGTGCAGTGTAGCCTTGTGGTTGATTATGTTGAATGCATTGGAAGCGTCAACTCAGAGTACTTCCTCACAATCATGCTACTCAAATATCTTTCTCATTGCGTGAGTGGCAGCTTCCCCTCCAGCCTGGTGGCCAGCACTTACAGTACTTGCAGGTTCCCTTCAGTTGCCCTGACATCATCATTTACCACCTCCATTATGCATTTTCCAATGATCTGTCTCAGCACTTCCCCCACTCCTATAGGCCTACATCCTGGATTTTTATCCAGGGTAATGAGATGGCAGGCCATCAGAGCATGGAGTTGGTGGCAGCACGAGGTTGCTAGCTTTCTTGTAAGGGTGGGTGGCATTACAGAGATCACTTGCTACGGCGCCAAACTTGTTAGCTCTGAGGATGACTCTCCACCCGTCTGCATCCAGCTACCCCTCCTTGTGTTTTCAGTGCTTTTTTCCACACCATCCCTCCATTTATTTTCTCGAACATGACAGTATTTGGAGGGATATAGGCACCCTGGAACCTGATGCCTTCCTCGTCATTTGCAGAGGGATGTTTTTCTTTCAGTTGTTGTAATGTCTCTCTGTTTATTGGTAAAACACCACCAGAAGATTCCTCTGTGAGAGATCTTACCGCCGAAGACACTTTTCCCTCCCGCATCTTGTTACCAAATTTTCTGGCAACATCCTCGGTGTTTTGCTTTCTGTCTCGTATGAATTTTAGACTCCTGCTGTGTTCTTGCTTCGCGTAGGAGATCATCAAGTGCCCCTTTCTGCCATATTGTCAGTCTTCTATTCAATGCTGCCGCATTTTCTTTGGACTTAGACCTTGTTTGTGTCCTCTGACAGAATAGATGGAGTATTATTGCCAGTATTTGAAGAGCTAGTGGGGCCAGGGGGCTGTCATGAGTGTAATTGATTATGAGATAAATCGTCTCCCGGATCATTTCTCTTGTGGTTGCACACTTGGGTGGTTCAAAGAGGTTAGCTGGCGACCATCAGACAATTTCTGAGTAGACTTTTTTGACCCACATCTCCGCATCGTCCTCTGACTAGCCTTTCCAATTTGTTGACTGTATGTCATTCACCTCATGAACAGTATTTTCCGACTGATTGGGTTCACTACTATCATCTGACATGTCATCATCAGGTGATGGATCTCTGCCATAGGGATTTGACAGCTGGTCCCTTTCCTACAACCCACACATCGTGTGTTACTTCTCACACATATACAGGTTGTGCTTTTCTGATTCTGGCCTGAGCACTGACAAACACATTTCTCAGTCATGATGTCGACCTGGGAAGGAGAGGTAGATGTGGTTGTGGTTTCGGAGGGGAGTGGGGAGGGTGAGTTTTGGTGTACTGACCGATGGGGCGGGACAGAGTGGGGTGAGGCTGGGCTTGGGACGAGCGGGACTGTTACCACCCGAGACCTGCTCTTGTTTCATGCCACGGCCTACGTAGCACTAACCAACACAAGTGCCACCTGCTATACAGTCACCGGCTCTCCAATAACTATCACCAATATCCATTCGGGAGGCCCAAAGGTGGATGACACTGCGATCACTTCATGTTCTACACCAGGGTTTCTCAACCAGGGGGGAATTCCCCCCAGGGGGGGAATTCAGGATTTCAGGGGGGGGGGATTGGGACCACAGATTAGCAAACTCAAACTGTTAGAATGTTGATCTTTTTATTGCCTTTGAGCTCCCCAGGGCGGCACAAAATTCAGTATGCATCGGTTACCAGGGGGGAATGACATTCTGACATATGGTGAAAGGGGTGCATGGGGCAAACAAGGTTGAGAACCACTGTTCTACACATTTGCAAGTACAGTAGTAATTCCGGTAGTTCTGCCTGGTTTTCCCTATTAATACCCCTTTTTTTACGAAAAACCCGGAGCTATCGTGACCCAATCCTCCCTCCACAACACAACTACTACTACTAAATGTTACATAATACTTCATTGAGTTAAATGTACAGCATCTGTATCTGCATTTTCTGGCTAAATAAACTGTTTAAATATCAATACCAAAATCATCAGGTGAAGTAAGCTGGGGGCTAATCTTCAAGTGATCCAGAATACCTTTACAATTATTGTCTTTTAGAGAGAGAGAGAGAGAGAGAGAAGGATTATACAGTATTATTCTCAGTTTTTTGAAGAAGCATTTTATTTATCAATATATTTCATGTTTTATAGCCATTTCCTATGCGGGTGTGGATTAGTCGTGATTACCTAATGGCAGCAATGAAATCTTGTTAAGATAGCACAAAAGCTTCTGGTGTGCAGGGCCATGGTTGCCATACCCCCAGTCATGAGGATGACACCTTGACTGATGATTGACCAAAAGCCATTGAAAATTTTTCATCAAATTTGGCACAAGTTTAGAGTAAATGGAATGATGATAGATTTTTAGATTAGACATGAAATGACTGACTGATGAAGACTGGTAGGAATTATGTACTGCACAGATATGTACATCTTGGTGTTCTATGGACAGTATTCACTGTATAGTTGTTTTGGTGGATGGAAAACAGAAGAAACATACCATAAGCCTAGTCTGGTGATCAATGTTGCCCTGCTCTAATGAGACAGGGGATGAGGGTAAACTGATCTTCAGTACAGTATATGAGCCAGTCATTTGGTCAATCTGTATGCCCCCAAAATTTCTACAAATATACCAACCTTTGTTTTCCATATGTTACATGCACCATGTTCTCTTTTGTTACTTGGATTAGTACTGTAGTTTATTTACAACAGATTGTCATCATATAATATACTGTACTGTACTCTACATTGTACAGTATAAGATTTTTTTCCAGAATGTAAGACGATTCAGCCACTGGTGAAGTGTCCACTTAGTCCTCGTAGACCACGACGTATGCCGTCTCCCAAACCTCGTGGTCGTGCAGTGTCACCTCTCGCAATATTTGATGGCCCAGGTAAGACACTCAATGTAATTATTAGTTTTCTGAATTTATCTATCACTGAGGTGTAATGCTACTTTTCCTGAGCATCTGTATAACCACTGTACTTTTTTGCAAAGTTGTGTTGCATTAAGTGTGGCTCTTTGGATTTTTCCTCTGATCTGTTATATGAAGGTACCAGTTTAATAGTTTATTGTGACCTCTCTAAATATATTTAGAAAAAATCATAACCTTACTAAATCATGTGAGAAGCAGTTCAATGAATATAATGTAAATTTTAGATGATGATACTGTCATACTATAATTCATACTATCTTCACAGGTAGTTTACCACGGTCACCCAGAAAACCCCGAGCACAATCTCCTCACAAACGCTCGAGCCAGCAGCACCAACAGAGTTACCAACAACAACAGTATAATGGCCATGTAGCTTGTGGTGGTCTGGAAAATATTATCTTCCCCTCTTGTGTCACATCTAAGTAAGTTGCTTGCAATGTACAGTATTGTACTGGGATAGTCTGTTTAGCTTACCTGTAAACCTTGTCGTGGTCATCATTGTAAACAATGTTTGGATTTATGTTTTAATGTACTGTACTTACAGGCAAGTTTCATTTTCCTTTAACAACACTTGTCTCTTAAACTGTGAGTTTTTATGATAAATTTTTTTAACACTTCCAACTTCATAAGCTTCACCTCATTATCAGGGTACAGTTCAGTATATCAATCTTTGCTAAAGAAGAGTTAGTTTATGTATCTGGAACATATAGATATTTAATTATTTGATTGGCTTTGCTTCTACAATTTACCTATACAGTAATCCCGTGTTTTTCGCGGAAATTATGTTCCTGAAACCCCCGCGAAAAGCCAAAACTGCGAATATTCTTTAAGGAATCACTGTACCTGTGGCCACCAAACAGCTCAGGTAGGTCATGCACTTAACCACGCCATGCTTTCCACTCATGGCCCAGTGGTCACACTGATCACTGAAGCACTGTACTGGCATTTACTAACATCATTATTTGAAACTAATCGTATTGTAGTATAATAATGGAAATACGTAACCACAGTTATATACAAAAAAAAATTATTTACAAGTAAATAAAAAAATTTATATTTCACTGAGGTCGGCAACACCCACATTGCCAGCCCCTTCCTGCTGTCCCAGCGTCTGCCTGCCCTCACGCAGTCATGCCAGCCAGCCAGTCCTCTTTCACCCACATTCCTCTACTTGAAGACTTGTATTCTGACAAAAGACACAAATGAATTGTCAGTCTTCACCACATCTTGAGCCAAAGTTCATACCACCTCTGAGCTTGTCCAATAAAACTTTTTTGCATTAAGGTCATCACTATTCTTGATCTCTTGGTCACTTTAGAGTCCTTGCTAGTAATATTTGCCTTTGATGAGGCTGGCTTACTTCCCAGAGCCATGTGGAATGCACATGGGAGGACAAACAGAAGAGGTAATCACAGTAGCGTTCACAGTACGGTAAGCACATGTGGACTGAGGCTTCTCGGAGCTGTGGGTGTCTGAGGCGGGAACGGGTGGTGTCTGTTTGCCGCACCGCACAGGGGAATATTGAAAATAGCGCGAAATTTAAATTTGTGTTTTTAAAGAATATTATGTACAGTTGGGTCTTCATTTACGCAGTCAATTGAACCCGCGGAGTACCGCGTAAAACGAGAAATGCGTAAATGAAATAACAGAACATGTGGGATTAATTAAAATAAAGACTGTGCCGACCCCCAAACTCCACTTTTTCCGACTCAATACGTACCTTGTAGTAAAAATAGTATCTTAACTTTATGACGGTATGCAGACACACATAATATAGAAGAGAAATATCAATAAGAGAATAATATACTGTATCAGGGAAAAGAAAAATCAAGGTTTAACACTAACGTTAGGTTAGGTTAGAAAAAATCAAGGTTTAATACTTACGTAAGGTTAGGTTAGGTTAGGTCGTTGATTATATGTTCAAAGTCCGCGTGTTATATGGACTAAAAATGAAGTATATATATGGTACCTCGTGCTTCATACCAGCTGGATTCGGTAAAATGCTACTGACACCACATACGAGGCACAGGCAGTTCCCAATGAGGTTCACGGCGCCATCAGCTCGATGAACAGGCTTTGTGTGAAATATAACAGAGCAGGACTGCTTTTAGTGTCCTTGCGGGTTGGTCGGTAGCGTTCCCTAGTCCCACCCAGTAGGTCGAGGGTTCGATTCCTGGCTGGTGAGGTCGTTGATTATATGTTCAAAGTCCGCGTGTTATATGGACTAAAAATGAAGTATATATATGTACCTCGCGTTTCATACCAGCTGGATTCGGTAAAATGCTACTGACACCACATAAGAGGCATGGGCAGTTTCCCAATGAGGTTCACGACGCCATCAGCTTGATGAACAGGCTTTGTGTGAAATATAACAAGAGTCTAGAACTGCTTTTAGTGTCCTTGTGGCCTAGCCAGTAAGCGTTCCCTAGTCACACCCAGTAGGTCGAGGGTTCGATTCCTTGCTGGTGAGGTCGTTGAATATATGTTCAAAGTCCGCGTGTTATATGGACTAAAAATGAAGTATATATATGTACCTCGCGTTTCATACCAGCTGGATTCGGTAAAATGCTACTGACACCACATAAGAGGCACGGGCAGTTTCCCAATGAGGTTCACGACGCCATCAGCTCGATGAACAGGCTTTGTGTGAAATATAACAGAGCAGGACTGCTTTTAGTGTCCTTGCGGGTTGGTCGGTAGCGTTCCCTAGTCCCACCCAGTAGGTCGAGGGTTCGATTCCTGGCTGGTGAGGTCGTTGATTATATGTTCAAAGTCCGCGTGTTATATGGACTAAAAATGAAGTATATATATGTACCTCGCGTTTCATACCAGCTGGATTCGGTAAAATGCTACTGACACCACATAAGAGGCACGGGCAGTTTCCCAATGAGGTTCACGGCGCCATCAGCTCGATGAACAGGCTTTGTGTGAAATATAACAGAGTCTAGAACTGCTTTTAGTGTCCTTGTGGCCTAGCCGGTAAGCGTTCCCTAGTCACACCCAGTAGGTCGAGGGTTCGATTCCTTGCTGGTGAGGTCGTTGATTATAATTAAAATATATATGAACAGTAAATAAGTGTTGCTTTCATATTCTTATGTAAAGTAATGATGATATGTTTTCACGTGTGCGCATGCGCACTTACATATGCGATCTCTCTTTTTCTTTACCATTATCGTTAGCTACTTCTATTGTTCCATTTATTAACATTAAATAACATTACTTAAAACAACCATATTAATTTTACTACAGCTACAACCAAGGTCTAATTTTCTTCAGTTTTATATGTAGAACCAGTCAGTCACTGGTTTTGTAATCAACGAATACAATGCTGTGTCATTTCCTCGTGTGTTTTAATATTCTACGTATTATTAATGAATTGTATTGCTCATTTTGCACACATAAACATTAATTCAATAAAAAAGACATTCAGTAATAAACAATAATGAATCTTTTGTACATAAGAGAAATGACGCTGTTTACACGATTATGCACGTCGTCTGCACGTTGGCGGGCCGTTCAAACCCGTCGAAATTCAAGTTTCCGCCGTCAAAATTTTTATTTATTTATTTTTTGTGTGTTCCAATAAAATACGTTAAGAATTAAAAACTCGCGAAATTTGAGAAGCTACTATACGACATTTAACCCTTCAATATGTCTTCAAAGAGACCATGACGCAGAGAAAGTGGTGCTAGTGCTTCCAGGCATAAGCACAAGTCACTATCTATCCAGGAAAAGGGTGAATTTCCATGGTCCGGCAATTTCCATGGTCCGGCACCGGTCAGGTCCCGAGGTTGCCGGACTAGAGAGGTACAACCTGTATATATATATATATATATATATATATATATATATATATATATATATATATATATATATATATATATATATCACCGTGGGTCCTAATAGAGTTCACGTTTACAAGCTCTGAACAGGCTTTGTGAAATATAAAAAAAGTCTAGGACTGCTTTTAGTATCCTGGTGGTCCATGTTAGTGCCTCTGTCACAGTCATAGGCTTGTGGGCCGGGGTTCAATCCTGGGTTGAGGTGTTGATTGTATGTAGAAGTCCGCTGCTTTATTGGGCTAATGAAATATATATGGATCCTCGTGTTCAAGCCGATTTGGTAACGTTACTCTGACCACCTAAGTGATAATCGGTGGTCCCCTATTAGAGGTTCACGGCGACATAAGCTCATGAACAGGCTTTGTGTGAAATATAACAAAGTCTAGGACTTCTTTAGTATCCTGGTGGTCCAGCGGAAGCATGCCTCGGTCACAGTCATAGGCTTGTGGACCGTGGAGTTGAATCCTGGGGTTGAGGTCTGATTGTATGTAAATCGCGTGCTTTATTGGGCTAATGAAATATATATATATATATATATATATATATATATATATATATATATATATATATATATATATATATATATATATATATATATATATATATATATATATATATATATATATATATATATATATATATATATATATATATATATATATATATATATATATATGTATGTATGTATGTATGTATGTATGTATGTAATAATAATAATAATAATTAATGGTTTATTGAAGAAAAAAAAGAAATCTGCAGCCCAAGGCTGAAAAATATACATTGGACATAAATGACTTATTACATACATTGGTGGTTTAAAAAGCCTTCATTAGAGAAAGGTAAGGAACATACAGTGAACATACAGCAAACTCGTAGTTTAGTAACTCCCTCCCAGATGGTGTTAGGAGGAACTCCGTGGTGTAGTAGTTCCCTCAGATGGTGTTATGAGGACCTGGCATGGTGTAGTAATTCCCTGCAGATGGTGTTATAGAGGCCTCACGTGGTGTAGCAATTCCTCACAGATGGTGTTATGAGGGCCCCACGTGGTGTAGTAATTACCTCACAGATGGTGTTATGGGACTCCGCTGGTGTAGTAATTACCTCACAGATGGTGTTATGAGGGACCTCACGTGGTGTAGTAATTACCTCCAGATGGTGTTATAGGGACCTCATGTGGTGTAGTAATTACCTCACAGATGGTGTTATGAGGGACCTCACGTGGTGTAGTAATTACCTCACAGATGGTGTTATATGGTGGTGTGGTCTTAGGCCTTCCTATCATAGACGGATTAACACACGCTGGTTGTTGTTGGGTCTCGGCCGCTATCACTGGGTACCTGGGACCTCACTGTGTGAAGGTTAACTTGGGTACGACTGTTACTGTTGAGTTGTTCTCACTGACTTAAGCACTGTTCACCACTGTTCACCTCTGTTTAACACTGGTTCTGTTCCTTTCCTAAATGAAATTGTAACTTCTGGCGAGAACTTGTTGATATTCCGGTGGGGAGGAGGGTTCAGGGGAGGGGGTTGGTGTGGGCCAACTTAACAGTTGATCTGGCTGCTCCGAGAGGAGCGCCAGG